ATTAAAAGTGAGTACCACGACTTTTTCCTTCAGACAGTTGAAATTGTTTATTAAACTTTTTATAGCAATATTTAAACAATATGGAACACTTACAGATATACGTCTCTGACTCTTCGGTTCGGTTCAGAGGCAATTATAGTTTACCCCAGGCGAAATTTAACCCCTACTTGGAATCTCAAACTCCTTCTAAACGCAGTTTTGACCCTTCATAGCATCTCTAAATCCTCCAGCGCCAAATTTCACGACTGTTTTGCGTATCCAGCTCCTGCTGATTATGAGTGAGACGAGTTTCCATTTTACGGCCGTATTGCGCAGTCAATTACTACTTATAATATGGAACTCCTCCTTTGAACCTCAAAGGTCTTCCAAGTCCGAGGGATCCGAAATGGGCCGCATTTTGTAAGCTCTCATAGAATCGTCTCACTCAATAGAAGTTCGAGATGCAAAATAATTCTAAAATTTGACGCTGGAAAAGTTAGAGATGTTGTATAGAATTAAAACTGCGTTCAAAAGAAGTTGAAGATTTAAAGCAGAGCTTAAATTGCTACTTAGAGGGGGGGGGGGGTTGAAACGAAAATTTATGCTGGTTGAAGTTGTGAATTAGATAGTAATATAACATTGATACAGAATTGTCTTTTCCACTCCAGCTCTTGCTTCGTTAAGACGTTGAAAGTTCAAAATAGAGGTTACCTGTGGAGCGAGGAGTGTAGGAACATGAAATTGGGGTTCCATTACTTGTATACATAAAAATAGAAATTTTACAAAAACATGAAGACTCTTCATGAAAATCAAGACATGAAGATCGGAGAAGACGCGTGAGAAGTCCATGAGTAGAGACATACGATATAATATTTCTCTTCATTTTAAAAATTATGCACATATTCAGAATCTCTAAGCGGAGCGTGGATCGCATCTCATGGATATAAGGAAGAGAAAATTAATCCTGGGTGTCTAAAAGAATTCGTTTATGAAAATAATTCAAAGTTTATAGCACATGAAATTAATTATTCTTTCGAAAGCCAATTTCTTCTGATTGACCATTGTAAACAATCCCCTGAATAGCTAACCATATAAGCCCGTGAACAAGACATATTAGCTATTCAATAGACAATGCCAAGTAGCCGCGAGACATCTACTGCACAAACCAGAAAATAAAAATAAAAACGTATTCCTTCATGAGCATCCACTTGCATCCATTAGTGACAAATCACGTTTTCTCTCCACATTAGTAAACGTATATAAACAATTCAATGCATTACATCATCCATACTCATCTTGACCTTTGATAAATGACACTGCTAATATTTGATACTTGAAAAAGTAATAAATAAGACGATGAAAGAATTTCAGGGTTCGTACAACATTCGCGCTACTTAAAATGCAGTAAAACAATGTGCGTGTTGCTTGAACACTTATTGATATTTTATGCATGTCTTTCAGTCATTTGCATGCACTCCTTACATCATTTCGCAATAGTATAAAAATAGTCTTAAGAATATTTTCTTAGTATTCCATATCGTCATGTTCCAAGGACATATGTGTACCATTAGAATCAGTTAAAATGAATTATAACGAATCTCAGAAACATATATCGATCATTAACCAATCATTGAAATGAAATGAAACTGAATCTGTTCGTAAACTCAACTAACGATCATAGTTACCAAAACTCAAAATTCAATTAAAGAAATCTATTCCTTTTGGAGCACACGCGATTTGTGGCCTATGATTAGACTTTGCAAGATAGAAACATAATTTGATAAATTTGGTATTGCTATGTTAAATTTAAATGAGGAAGAGAATCTTTAAATACACTGTGATTTAGAGATATTTAAAAAGCCTGAATTTCACACGAGTATAAATTGTCCGCAAACATCTAAAGATTAATTTAATTTTTTACAAGAAAAATTTGGCCAAATTTTAAGCTCCATAAGATCATATCTATTTTTAAAACGAACAAACTGAAAGCTTTAACGAAATAAACTTCAAGGCTGCCTAGGTTCTTTAATAAACTTTCTAGGATCAAATTTCCTTTTACTGGCGTAATACAACACACAGTTTCTATAAATACAGCAAATCGAAAAACATTTTCCATAGTAGATTGGGTACGTCCTTATATCTCTGTGTACCAGCACAACCTCACCCGACAACGATAGAAACTGGACACTTTTCACCGTAAAAAGATATTAGGACTTTTTTTTTAAATCTCCAATTCTACCTGATCAATGATCAGTGATCACATTCGTTTCCTTCGAAACAATGACACTTATCGCAAAGGTTCATGGAAACATATGACATGACGTTCGGATCATGAAAATCAGAACGTTAAACTCAAATTAGAATTGCCCTAACTTAAAACCAGTATAAAAAAAAATTTGCAGTCAAAATATTTTATTTCGTCAGAAAAAAAAAAGTTTAAAAAATTGGCAATTGCTGTAAAATTTTTTACATATTAAAGCATATGTTCCAAAGGAAACAATTGCACCCCTTTAAAATGCTTTTACTACAATAATCCATTACTCCACTAATTTTATTACGTTTCAGGATGGCAATGTTTTAAAAAAAAACTTCAGAAGATCAAGTTTGTCTTCAATCATCGACTCGTTAATCTTAATCTTGTGGCATGTGAAGTAAATTAACATGTAATCATTTTCTTCAAGGTAATTATTGCCGTCGGATGAATGTCGTCGATGGTCTTAATTTTTCATGTAAACGTCACAAGCAGCTTCAATAGCCACTATGAGCCGTGAATATGTACGCACGGACATAGATCGGATATCTAAGCATTCACTGCTGTGCATGTGCATTCTCTCAGCAATATTCCTAGACGGCGTTTTCCACTGGACTCTTCGTATGCATGTGCACTAAAATACATGCTTAGATATGAGATTTGTGTGCATACGCACATACCGAATACGTGCAATAGTTAAAAATTATGTAACACGAAAAGTTTCCATGTCATGTCGCCATTCATAGTCATCACTAAACATTATTAAACCCGAGAGTAGAGACCTTAAAAAATTACAACACGACCTACAGTCGTTCCACGAGTTCCATTTGGATTTTTTAAAGTTCAAAAAACCATCGAATCCTTAGGAAATCACATACGGCTTTCTATAAAATTACGGAAATATCTGGCAAAATAGAGAAATAAAATATATTTCAGTGAAAAATTATGCACATGCATACTTTTAAACAAGAATGTTATGCAGAGCCACGTATTTTCCTACAGACTTTATTCTTTTACGTCTGTCAATAAAGCACATTAAACTCGTGAACTGACTATAGAATCTATAAGTTGGATGAATACGATTGGAAATTATTATAAGGGTGCAATTAATAATATCAGTACAGCCCCACTAAATATTAGATTTCTCAACGCATCATAAAAGTAAATCGGTTTGAAAGTCTAGGCTTAAAATATATCCAGCTTTCAAAATAAGTGATAAGGAAACAATGGAACTTCGAAATTTGAAATGCTGTACAAGCAAACATCAATGACCAAAAGCAATTCTTGGTCTGATCTTGTTACCAAGAGATACGAATACTTACACATTATACAGTACAACACAAATTAGTCAAATAATAAGATAACACTGTGTAGTAAACACTGCGTTTCATTTTTTTAGCAATGAGTGCTAAATTATTTGAAACGTGTTAATCCCCACGAAAACGTCATATAGCCGGAATATAGTAAAAATATATTATTTTATTATACAGGGTATTTCACCTAACTTGACCATTTAAAATATCACGGTTGGCTTCGATGATACGGGAAGAGTATTTAACACATTGCACGTCGTTAAATTTGCTTGTTTTATCAGGTATACGGCTGTTGTAATGAAAATATGTCATCCCATTAAAAAAAACATCGACAGCTTTGAAATCTCAAAAAACATTACACTAATCAGAGTATTTGCCCCTTTGTGCCAAACAAATTTTCCTGTAATATTTTTCCCGTATCATCAATGAAAACCGTGATATTTTAAGAGGTCAAGTTAGGTGAGACACCCTATATATTATGTATATATTGAATATACAATCATTTACTCTTACTATAGCTCTTGGTAATTTCTTGAAAATCCGCCACGAGGAAAATCCGACACAGCTTGTCATTGTTTTCATTGCATTCTTTCATGAGAAACTCGTCGTGATATAGGTATGTATGAAAAAACTTTTCACTATCATTCAAGATTATTATATTACAAGAAAAATTTCAGGTTTTATGATAGTGTAAATGTTATTTTTTGGCTGGCGTTTTTGTAGCTTTATTGCGTAATCTAGCAAAAAATAATAAACCTCACGTGAGATAATAAATAAAATCATAAATAATTTTATAGTTTCAAAGGCGTAACGTTTCAGGATCATTGCGTTCGCACCATTCATGACAATTAAAGCTAGTAGAATAAATTCGTTATTATTTATTATGGAATGATCAATTCGTTTGAATACTAGGTGTAAATAAAATACCAATTTGCCTATTACACGCAGATAAATGATTACCACAGCAATTGGATAATAAAAAATTCCAGCAGCAATGACAATAACTCCGGTAAAATTTACCATTGTAACGATAAATCTCACTAATTTACTTTGACAATCTTACTACAGTTTTTGTCGTTGTTATAAGAAATTTGCTGTTATCCAGATACTAAAAATTTATCGAATAATCGCGACAATACATTTTTTTGGATGTATATTTAAAAAAAAATGTATATCTGACTCACCGATAAAGACGAAAATCTGATGGTGAGAATAACGAAGTAGCATAGAAATAGATACAGTCTGAAACATAAATAATCATATATTACACAATTGATTATAAAATTAACGAATAATAATTTCAAATCAACATTTTTAATTGTTCTGAAATAAAAATAACTGATCTTCCGTATCCTCGTATCTCGTATTGTCAGAACGTGTCCGCCAATGATTAATCAATATACATCAAACGAAACGGTACGTTTAGAGATTTATTGCGACCTCGTAGAACGTACGCGCGCAATTTCATCAGGAGCAACAATACTTTAACTGTGTCACTGCGAAGTAGAGGTTATTTATATTTTCAGGAATTGTAACAGTCTGGCAGTCGGACTTCCATTACGAATAGTTACGAATATACATAATAATACAGACGTCTCTGGGAATTTGAATTTGTCTGGGAATCGAACAAGATCGTTTCGAATGTGGGACGTGGAGCACAGTGCGCCCTGCAGAGAACACACCCAACAGGACAAGTGGAATTTTATTAGACTAACTTCAGCAGGATTGCAACTGGCAAATTGCATGCCGCCCGCTATCGGTTAGCGGGATGAGCGAATAATACAGTTGAATTGCGAATAGTGCAGATTGAAATCGGCACCTGATACCCTCTGCGTGTAATCTATTATTTCCAACGAGGAACCTTTATAACTGCTATTAAACAAGGCGTTAACGTTAACGTAATAATGAAATTACGAAATCCTCGAGGAATTGGTATAACCTGATAACGACTGCGGTATAGAGTTTATCAAATATTTCAAATAATCATAAATACTAAAGATAGTACATAAAATTACGAGAACATTCGTTTATTATAATAAGCATCAGTGTGTGCTATCGTATCACGGAAAATCGTAAAATCTCATCGCTTCCTACGTATCCAAACTAATTTTACTGTTCGCATCACTTAGCCGACAGACAAATTCCAGTATCAGTTGACTCTACGTAAATGAGCATCACTGTTAAGCTCGTCGTATTTTTGTCTTCAAAATTCTCTAGAAACAAAACTGCAGCCTCCTGACGATCTCGAAGGTCAAGTAAAAAGAGAAGTTAAAGACAAACGGTACTTTAAGCACACTGTCCGCTACGCGCATTCATAATGAAAGTTAGTAATTCACTAAATCGAATACAGCAGACGTGCTACTGAAATCGAATAACGGACTCAAGAAAAGAGGAAATCCAGAAAGTAAAGAGAATCTCGACGCAAAACGCACCGAAGATTGATTAGCCTCTTGCATTATGAATGCGTGCTGATGGATAGAACGCAGTTTCTACCGGGAGTCCTAATCCTTTCCTTTCCATTGCCACTCTTTTACTTTCTTTCCCTTCCTATTTCTCCTGTCTGAGAACAGCCGATCCTATTCGCCTAGTACTTAATGGCTCCGACGACGAGGCTCAAACTTTTCTCTTTGTTTTCTCAGATAATCAGAAGTCTTAGTCATCATCAGTCACTAATTCCTGATATCCTGAATATCCTCATATCCTCCTGTAAGAAAGCACATCTCCAATTATATATCAAACGCGCACAATGTTCAGACGCTTAAAAAATTCAAACCATAAAACAGTTAAAGTCCTCACATTTTATCCAAGTGCATAAAATCATCTTGACCCATGCCACTCCCCCCAAATATATTTCTTTTAGAAAAGTATTATCCATACGAGTCAATTTACGCGTACCGCCAAGACTCCCCGTTACTACCGTTCATTATTCTCGTCATACAATTTTGTTAACCCGCCCGTCACACATTCTCCCATCTAATTATTCGCAACCAGCATCGGGTTTTGAATAATCTGCAAAGAGGAAATCATAGTAGTGTAGTCACCCGTCCCACCTTCGGACTGAATATTATAACCGAGGATGGGAGCAGCAGTGCGCTCGCATAACGCAACACGCATGCACTGTAATGGAGTCCTGATGCCGCGTGCACATGACAAAGAAAGGAGCCGGCGGGATAGGCGAAACGCGAGGCGGCCGACAGTCCCGTGCACGTGACTACGACAGCGAACGACATCGAGGTCAGTTCAAGCTTGGATTTCACGTGCAGCGTCACGTGACTTCGTTCCGCCCGGAATTCTATACGCCCGTACCGCGGTTATATATGTATTTACCCCTTGCTCCCCTATCACGCTCCCGGAAGCCACCTGCTTCGAACCATTTAATATAACCTCCTCCTCCTCCCTCCCCGCGCCCTTTCGAGAACCTTTGGCTGCAAACCCCTTTAAGCGCCATGTTTATCGAGTATATTTTTACTTGAAATTCTCGAAGCTTCGCTTGATTAAGCGTCAAGTTGCCTGTTTGCCATCTTTCTTGTTCTTAGTAATCGGGACTATTATTCATGATTCTCTTACCCACTGGCTACAACTATGAATAATTATGTATGTAGGAAATACGTGCGATCGATCGTACAACAAGAAAAATCATCCCTTTCCGAGTGAACTTTTAGGACATGGAATGATAATAGGACTCTGACTTCAAAACTCATTATCACTCACTTGGCACAGATTTGCAGACTTTTTTTTTGGACTTCAAAGATCCAATAGGAATTCACGGACTAAATCGACAAAGATTCGGCAATGGCTGATAGGGAGGCATAAGATTTCTTGTATAATTAACACGTTCGATCCGGCTTGATCCACCGGCGAGTCGCAATCTGTGGTTAAAAATGCGTACCGGGTTGAACGTGTTAATGTTTATTTTATATATGCATGCGAATACATATATTTGTACATACATCGTGTAAGGAGTTAGGACTAAAGGATCGCTGATAAAGGATGCGACAATTAAATGAATACAAATGAATATCTTCAGGTCAATCCGTTCAAATTGAACAGTTAATTTTCTCAATAATCCATGCAACTCAGTCAAGTAGCAATCCTGGTAATAAGAATATTTACTTGCTGCCTTAACAGAGGCACATCTAATCGATGCTGATACTTTCCGTATAGCTTCCGAGTATAATGCATTTAGCGAGCGTATAACTTGAGTCAAAGGCCATTGTTGGAAAATTGCTACTGGCTGCGGAGACCCGTTACGAAACGTTCCATTCATGCTGCCAGAGGAGACTGACCCGAACTGTAATCGGGGAATTTCGAAATTTCCCAAGTGAGATTATATGCCGACATCGTTAGATACCTTCGTTATCTTAATTAAGAATAATAAATAAAGAGTTCAGCGCGATCCAAGACAATAACAATAGCACGTATAATGTCCAGCAAAAAGATTGTGAATAAGATCGTAAAAAGAATTTCAAATGACGCGTCTCTCCTAAACTTTCGTCAATGAAGTCATGGAATAATTAGGATCAAAGGGTACAATACGGTTAATACAGAGTACAAGGAGCGAGGGAGTGAGAGGGAGGTAGGTAGGCTGATGGACTATGAAGGGATGAAGGAATGGGAGGGAAGGGAGGATACTCAGAGAGCTAGTGGTATTGGTTAGATTGTCCTGTGATTAGCTTGAATCAGGATCCACCTGTGTCTAGATCTGGAGAAGATCGTGGGTGTATGTATTAACGTTCCATCTACCAAGCACAAATAGCTACTCGGGCGGCACACAAGGGATGGTCAAAACAGAGAGTACAGCTTCTCCCTTGATATTCCCTTGGTCACTGTCGTGTCTCGTCCTGAAAAGTGTCCATCACTAGCCTTTACGTATATTCGCATGTTTAGATTACTAAAGCGAGGCTTCGATATTATCACAATTTGCACTAGACGATCGGAGAGCGATGGAGGATCTGGTGTATCTTAAAAGTCTATAAGCTCATTCATAGACACTGCTAAATATTACGTTTCCATTGATGTGATAGATATAATTTTTCACGTATAAATAGAAAAACAATATTTATACCGATAGGTATTATTAGTAATATTCATAAATAAAAAAAAAAGCATTGGCTCACACTCATAATTTATGAGAAAATACTAGTCTCCTCAAGAGCAAATTTTATAGACAATTAATATAATTTCTTGAGCCTCTTGTACTTGGGAATGAGTCGACCGAATTTCTTAATAAATAAAAGGAATTTTAAGTGGACAACGAGATTATTTTTTTAGAATTTAAAAACAAATGTATAATCAAATCTAAAAACACGTCAAGTACAATTAATAGCATAACCGTATTTAAATATATTGAGGGAATAAACTTATTTGACCGTAACAAGTATGAGATGTGACAGCGACACGAGAAATAACAAATAACGGAAATTAGACGACAAAATAAATTGGAGAATACGTTGAACAGAAAAAAAAAAGAAAGACGAAATATCAATTACTGAAGACTGTAACAACTTTGATAAATAACGACGAGAAGAATACTTCTCAATACTATTTCCCCAAAAGGGACGAAATACATGATAAAGATGATCAATTGTACAGGTATCCGCAGTACACGTTGTCCTATTTGTATTTCATTATCAATGTATTTCATTCCGTGAGACTATTTGTCTATGCATATTGATGCACAGTACACATGTAGTTAAACAAGGTTCTGGCAACAGTCCGTTTCCGCAAAAAGTACTATGGAATATATTTCTTTTTTGTTTATTCAGAAAAAAGTATTAATCATCTTGAGTAACAACAATGTTCCATAAAATACATAATTGTGCATAACAACACGTTCTGCCATCCACTATTATCCAAGGCAATAACAAGAATGTACCTTAGACATTAGAATTTCTCGTTAAACTTGTCAATTGCAGTAAATAATAAATGATTCCCTCTTCAATATACGCTAAACCTTTCTTTTCTATAAATTTATGTATATAGTTTATATGGGTTACATGCGGATTATATATGTTTATTATTATTATATAGATATATAGAACACTGAATTATATAAATTATTAATTTTTACATTTACCAACATGCTGAATAAAACAAAAAAAAAACGTTAAAGTATAGCGTTCGTTTCATAAAGCTTAAAACTTATTAATCTCGTTTATACGCAACGTTGAAGACATCAAAATTAATTCAATCGAAAATGAAGTAAAATTAATTAATAAACGTGCGAATACGTCACAGAGAGA